GGCTGATTTCACTCGTTTTTCAACTAATTCCTACCTAGCCCGATTTGCTGAAAAAAAAACCAGATGTCGTAAAATATGGTGTCGAGTCTGCGAACACCCCCAACTGACACCGTCACGTCAACTTGCAGACCACCTGAACCATTCCTCTTTTTTTAAAGCTATTTTACTCTTTTGTGTTTTTTCTGCCCTGTTTTTTTCCCTGAAAAAGTTTTCCCAACGGACCCCCCTCACAGGGATAATCTTACGAACGGATACCAACATGCCCCCCCCCCTCCCTCCAAGAAATACGAAAGGTCCCTCCTTCGACCCCATCCATCTAAAAATGTATGCTTATTGGCGACTTCCTGTGTGTGTGTGCATACACATATATCAAAAAATGTCCTTGCTCTCTCAGTCATTTCTCTCCTTTTTTTCCTTGCTCGATGGAATTTCTGTGGTGCTCAAAACTTTATAGGGGGGTATCTGTCACTTGCAATGGTGAAAAGGGGCGGAGCCTCTCTTTGGTCAATGATTTTATATAAATTTTGGTCTTGACTCAACAAAAATTGAATAGGCGTAGGATAAGGTGTTGAGTCTGCAAACACCGTCAGGGCAGATTGCAGACTATTGATCCTAGGAGGACCATGGATCTTAGACCCTAGGATACCTTGAATCATAAGAACTGAATTGTCGTAGAATAGGGTGCAGAGTCTGCAAACACTGGCGCGTCGGATCGGCCCGGAAGCTTGCGTTTTTGGAGAATTTGGAGCCAATTTTAGCATTTTCAGTCAACTTTTCTAGGCAGTGTTTATTCTGAGCAATTGTCAGATTTTCTGTCATTTGGCAGGCCTTGTTTCCATAAAAAAGTGAAATGTCGTAAAATATGTTGCCAAGTCTGCAAACACCCCACCACTGACACCGACACGTCAGATTGCGGACTTTTGATCCTCGGTCTTTGAGAATCCCAGGACCCTAGATTTTGAAGCCTAGCTTTCAGGATTTGAAGAATCCAGAACTCTGGATTCTCGAAAATCCAAAAATTTGGCTTTCTGAATTTTGAATCCTAAAAATCCAAAATCCCAAAACTAGACCCTACCCTTGACCTTTGACACCTTCTCTCCCCTCTCGAGTCACCAAGTTCGTTTCCGGCTTTTTGGCAACAAAATAGAATGAAACGGGAAAGAGTTTCAAGAATTTTTTTGGAGGGCTCAGAAATCTTTCGGGACAAATATTTTTCATTTTTCATGGAGTCAGTGCTGTTTACAGCTTTGCTGGGCCTGATCCGAGTAAGACGGAATGGTAGATCAAAAAATTCTCTATCGATTGGTATAAATATCATATAGATTTGTGCCTTACAACAAGGGTCCAAGACCGGAAAAAATCCTGATATTAGGGAAAAAATCCAAGTTTTTCCGCTATTGAGCACAATTTTCTCATACTGACCTATAGGATTTTTATACCAATCGATAAATAATTTTTTGATCTACCTGGGAATTTCTTTTGTACTTAAAATTCTCAAAATTATTGTCCACCGAGGCAAAAATCAAAAAAAAAACCCTAAAATTGACTTCAAAACTACAGTAACCCCCACACAATCTGGATACAGTACCCCCGGTCCCTTCCACCCCTCAATCTCTCCCTTATTTCAGTCCTGGATGGACACAGAACATCGGGTGATCCTGAACGTGGGCGGCATCCGACACGAAACCTACAGTCACGTTCTCAAGAAGATTCCCGCCACACGACTGTCCAGACTGACTCCGAACTTGGCGAATTATGATCCGGTGCTCAATGAATACTTTTTTGATCGACATCCTGGCGTGTTCTCGATGATTTTGAATTATTATAGGACAGGTAAGTTGATCAAGGAGGACTGGAGTTGATGGCCTAAGTGGCCTGAGAATAAACTAGGCCACCAGAACAAGATTTGGAGTTCTAGGCCGTTTTTTTGGGAGAAACTAGGCAATCAAACTAGTTTTGTGGTTTCTAGGCCATCGGTTGGAAAAACTAGGCCATCTAGCTAGTTTCGAGGTTTCTAGGTCATCCCTATCAGGAAAACTAGGCCATCCTGCTAGGTTTTGGGTTTCTAGGCCACCTTTTGAAAAAACTAGGCCATCTAGCAAGTTTTGGAATTCTTGGTTATACTTTGAGAAAACTAGGCCACCGAACAAGTTTTGAGAATTCTAGGCGACCCCTTGGGAAAACTAGGCCATCCAGCTAGTTCTAGTGGCCTGGCCGAATTATTCACCCATTTGGAAAACTAGGCCACCTAGTTACTTTTGAGGTTCTAGGCCACCTCTTGGGAAAACTAGGCCACCAATTTAGCCCTTGTGGCCTGGCTTCACTATCCGCCCATTTGGAAAAACTAGGCCACCAGAACAAGATTTGGAGTTCTAGGCCATTTTTTGAGAAAACTAGGCCATCTAGCAAGTTTTGGGGTTCTAGGCCACCCTTGAGAAAACTAGGTCATCGGAAAAAGATTTGAAGTTTTAGGCCACCTTTCGGAAAAACTAGGCCATCCAGCTAATTTTGTTGGCCTAGTTTCCCCACAACCTAAAAACCTAGGCCATCTCCCAATTCTTCTTCTTCCAGGAAAACTCCATTACCCAACCAACGTCTGTGGTCCATTATTCGAGGAGGAGCTCGAGTTTTGGGGACTTGACGCTAATCAAGTGAGTTTTTTTTCTTTTTTCCTCGAAAAAAAAAACAATTACGAGGACAAAAATAGAATTATGATGGCTTTTCGAAAAAATAATTGAGTCTGAAAAAACAAGAGATAATTGCAGGTGGAACCATGTTGTTGGATGACGTACACACAGCACAGAGACACACAGGACACCCTTGCAGTCATCGAGTCACTGGATTTGGATGGTGATCCACCCACACAGGAAGAGGTACGGACAGGTGGATAGACAGATGGACAGACAGACAGGGAGATGAGACGGCTGTCTGGACAAACAGATATCTGGACAGACAGACATTTCGACACCCGAAATTCCAGACATTCAAATATCTAGACAGATAGACAGACAGATAGACAGAAACCAGGGAATGCGGAAAGACGGCTGTCCGGAAAAACAGATATCTAGACGTTTCGACAACCGGAAATCCAGACGTTCGAATATCTGGACAAACAGACAGACAGACAGACAGTTAGAAGGAAACCAGGGAAGACGGTTGTCTGGACAAACATACATCTGGACAGACACTTTGACACGGGGACATCTCGGCAGACATCTGGACATCTGGACAGACAGACAGCTATTTTGACAGTCAGGCGTTCGGACATCTGGCTATCTGGACAGACAGAGAGACAGAAATCCGGCCATTCAGAAACTGAGACAGACAAACAGACAGACAAATAGACATCCGGCCATTCAGACACCAAGATAGACAGACAGACAGATGGACAGACAGATAGACAGACAGATAGGCAGACATACAGATAGACAGATAGACAGACAGATAGACAGATAGACAGATAGACAGATAGACAGACACAGATAGATGAAAACCAGGGAATGTGGGAAAACGGCTGTCTGGACAAACAGATATCTAGACAGACAGACATTTCGACACACGGGAATCCAGATTTTCGGGCATCTGGACAGACATCTTGGAATGCGGAAAAACAGACTTCCGGACAAACGGACATCTGGACAGACACTTTGACACCGGGACATCCCGGCAGACATCTGGATATCTAGACAGACAGACAGATATCAAGAGAGATATGGGTCTGGAAACCTAAGAAGGTGGATGAATCCGGACATCCAGACAGACAGGTATCCGGGCAGACAGTCCTACAGATAGGCAGTTATTTGAAAAGGCACATATTTGGAAACCTGGATATCCAGACGTAAGGATACCTGGACAGACAGACATACAGACAGACATTCAGACAGACACACAGACAGACAGACATCCATAGGGACGAACATTTAGAAACCTGGACATCCAGACATTAGGATATCTGGACAGACAGACAAACAGACGTTCGACCACTCGGATACCAAGATAGACAGACAATCCTACAAAAATCTTCCAGATAGCAAAAAAGTTCGGCTGGGAAGACGACTACTACACGGGCAACATGTCCCAATGGCAGCGACTAAAACCTCGAGTATGGGCCCTGTTCGATGAGCCATGGAGTTCGAAATACGCGAGGGTTAGTTTGTCTGTAAATGTCGGAGAGAAACTCTTCTGTTACCTAACGAGTGACTAACCCCAAATGTTGCACGTCGAACAAAAAAACTCAACCCAAACTGCATGTGTGTACTAATACCCTATCTTAGTTAGTTCCTTATTTTTTGTTTCTCGAAAATCTGTATACCTTGACTCCTCCTCCTTTCTCCCTATACTCTTCTCGATTTTTCCCTCGATTCTGGTTTTCCCCGGAATCAAAAACAAAAGGTATTCAGGTGATTTCATTCATCTCCGTAGCTTTCATTCTTGCCTCCACATGCTCATTCATCCTGAAAACCGATCCAAGCTTCCAGATTCCTGATATTGACGGTGAGTACTACCTTTAGAAAAAAAGAAAAAAAGATTTAGCCCCAGTGGGGGTCGAACCCGCGATGTCAGATTTGTAGACAAGCGCGCTACCCACTGCGCCACTTTGCGCCGAACAGAGGGAGGGGCGGAGGGCATTGACAAGACTGCGCGCTTCTCTCTCTCTCTCTCTCTCTCTCTCTCTCTCCTACAGTGCTTTTTCCAGTGTTCTACTCCCTCCGCGTGGTGGACGAAGGCGGCTTCAAAAACTATCACAAAACCATTGGCACCGACAAACCGGTGACGTCTCCACACCCCAATTTTTTCTACGTCGACCTCATCTGCAACATTTGGTTCGTCATTGAGCTGGTAATCTTTGAAAATGAAAATTCGCTCGATTGATAATAATTTTTTTCATTTTTTGCAGCTGATCAGAAGTCTCTTCTGCCCCTCATTCCACAAATTCGTGAGGTCTCCATTGACAATCATTGATGTCATCTCCACCGGAGCATTCTTTTTCGAGTCGCTCCTCCATGCGATCCTTATCCAGACAGGTTAGTTCGGTGGAGCGAATTTTCATCACGAGCAAGTTTGAAAATTTTTTTTGAAGGATCCCTGGTAACACTGGACTTCTTATCAATGATCTGTGTGCTGAGGTTGTTCAAACTGACCCAACATTTTTCTGGATTGAAGATTTTGATTCAGACTTTCAAGGTATGATTGTTAGGTGCCCTTCTATTAGAGGAATTTGAATTTCAGGCCTCAGCTCAGGAACTATTCCTCCTTGTGTTCTTCGTGGTGCTGGCTATTGTCATTTTCGCGGCTCTCGTCTATTACGCGGAGCGGAGTCAACTCAACAAAGACAATCAGTTTACGAGTATCCCCTTAGGGCTTTGGTGGTAAGCTTTTTCTTCTAATAAAAGGGCACCCCAGAAATTTTTTTCCAGGAGCCTGGTGACAATCTCCACTGTGGGTTTTGGTGATATGGTGCCCAAGACCTATCTGGGGATGCTGGTCGGATCCCTGTGTGCCTTGATGGGTGTACTGACGATTGCGCTGCCTGTCCCGGTTATTGTGTCGAATTTCTCGAATTTGTACTCACATTCACAGGCGAGAGCCAAGCTGCCAAAGAAGAGGAGGAGGGTGTTGCAGGTAACAAGGGGGCGGGGCTTATTTAGGAGCAGAGGATATGTACCCCAAGGTTTTGAAAAAAGAAAAAAAAATTTGACCCCTGTGGGGGTTGAACCCGGGTAGGAAATTTACAAAACGACAGCTCTAGCCACTGCGCCATGAACGACCCCGCAGAATAGGAAGGGGAGGGCGTATAGGTGCACGCCCTTCTAGCTGCGGCGCTAGAAGGGGGGGGGGGCTTAGGATCAACTTGAGAGTTACAGGATACGTCCCCCAAGTTTCCAGAAGGTTTTAGAAAAAAAAAAAAAGATTTGACTCCAGCGGGGGTCGAACCCGGGTAGCAATTTTACAAAACGCCTGCGCTAGCCACTGCGCCACCGCCGGCCTCTCAGCATAGGGAAGAGAGGGCAAATACCTGCGCGCCCTGCTGGCGGTCGCGCCCAAAAAAAGGGGGGGGGGGGAACACATCGCGCCCCATTGCAGAAGTACAGTAACCCAACCAATCTTAAAGGCACACGAAGTGAAGCCAGCTCTCCTCGGCGTGAAACAACACCACGGAAAGCATCGAAAGAAGAGCTCCTCGGCCACCTTCAATCAGCCACCCACAAACTTCAAAAACGCGAATGGTGGACCACCGATGCACGACAATTCCGCGTCGAAATTGATGGCCTAACTTTTTTTTTCCTCTTCCAGCAGACAAAATTCTTTTTCTTCCTTTTTTTAATCTTTTTTCCTGTGTCATATTTTTATACGGGTCTTCGTCCTTTATTTTCGAACTTTCTATTTTTTGCCCTTCGCCCCGCCCCCAATGGCCCCAATATATTTTTGCATAAAGATCCATTATTTTTACGTTTTCTAAATGTGTGTCATTTAGTTTTTTCTCTCTCGAAAAACAGAACTGCTTTTCACTAGTTGTCCACGTTTAGGGGTGTCTTTGCATGTGAAAATTTGGCTGCCATATAAATTCTCTGCAAAAAATTTTTTTTTCGAAAATAATTATCACTAACATTTTCACTTTTTTCATTTTGCGGAAGAGATTTTACCAAACGCTTCATTAATATTTTTCTCTATCAACGAGTCCATTGTCCACGAGTCTTTTGAAAGTCCAGATGCAACTGCGCTCTAATGACAAATTAGAGAGTTTTTCACTTTTTGCAGGTCATTTCCGTCGTCAACATCATCTTCGTCGTCATTTCCATCGTGTGCTTCTGTCTGAAAACGCATCCCAACTTTCGCATTCCTGACATTGATATTTCGACAGCGATGGGAAATTATAGTGGGACGGCTGGGACTGGAATCGGAGGGATTCAGATGAACACGATTTATGTCGGCAAGAAGGCCACCAGGTTGGTTTTTTTGGGCAAAAAATTTGAGTTTGAAACCCTTTGAGAGGGTTACGGTAGGTTTTGTATTTTGGGTCTCGACGCGAAAACACAAAAACTACTGTATCTCGGTTTTGATCTGAGTTCAACGCGAATTGTACAGTCAGAATCAGCGAGTTGAGACGGTTCGAACGAGTATAATCATGACTAGGTTTGAAAAAATTTTGAAAATTCGGGTCTCGACGCGAAAACACAAAAACTACCGTAACTCGCTGATTTTCGCTTCCTCTGACCTGAAACCAATACCATTAGAATCAGCAAGTCCAGACGGTTCAAATGAGTATAATCATGACAAGGTTCTGAGCATTTTTTGATTTTTTGGGTCCCGACGCGAAAACTGATTTGGTCATTTAGCAATGAAGCCTATATTGGGTCCCACCACGCCAAAAACTTCTTACTGTAATAGTCCCTTTTTTCCAGAGCCCACCCATCCTTCTTCTACGTGGAACTCCTCTCCAACATCTGGTTTTCCGGAGAGTTCCTAACCCGAATGATCTTCTGCCCCAACGTGGCAATCTTCCTTAAGACCCCAGTCAACATTATCGATTTTATCGCTACCGTATCCTTCTACATCGACTGGGCACTGGATAGAGCACTCTCCGGATCCAATCGGGACTCCGTGGAGTTCTTCTCAATCATTCGAATCCTTCGTCTATTCAAACTCACTCAACATTCCACTGGACTCAAAATTCTGATTCAGACGTTTAAGGCATCTGCTCAAGAGCTATTCTTGCTAGTTTTCTTTGTTCTTTTGGGTATTGTGATATTTGCTGCACTGGTTTACTATGCGGAAAGGGTGGAGCACAACGAGGAAAATCAGTTTTCATCGATCCCAGTGGGGTTATGGTGGGCTGTTATCACAATTTGTACAATCGGTTTTGGGGATTTGGTGAGTTTTTTTTTACCGTATCTCGGGCAATTTCGTGGTTTACGTTCTGTAAGATATACAGCCAGAATCAGTAGGTTAAGGCGGTTCGAATGAGTATAATCATGACTGGGGTTGGGAAAATTTCGAGATTTGGGTCCCACAACGAAATCACGAAAACTACCGTATCTCGGGCAATTTCTGGATTTACGCTGTGAAACCTACACTGTTAGAATCAGTAGGTCAAGACGGTTCGAATAAGTATAATCTTGACTAGGTTTGGAAAAATTTTAAGATTTAGGTCTCACCACGAAATCACGAAAAACACAGTAGCTCGGTCAATTTTGGGATTTACATTTTGAAACTTATACCGTTAGAATCAGCAGTTTAAGATGGTTCGAATGCGTATAATCTTGACTACGTTTGAAAAATTTTGAGATTTGGGTCTCACCACGAAATCAAGAAAACTACAGTATCTCGGTCAGTTTTGGGATTAACGGTATGAAACCTAGACTGTTAGGATCAGCAGCGCAAGGCGGTTCGAATGATTGTAGGCATGGCTAGATTGAGAAAATTTTGAAATTTTGGGTCTCACCACGAAATCACAAAAACTACAGTATCTCGGGCAATTTTACGATTTAAGCTATGAAACATATACCATTAGAACCACCAGATCAATGAGTGTAAGTATGGCTAGACTGGGAAAAAGTGACAAGTTAATAAAGTACGCCCTTCTATTACAGGTCCCCCAAACCTCCCTGGGCCGTGTGGTCGGTTCCGTGTGCGCATTGATGGGTGTCCTAACTATTGCTCTTCCAGTTCCAGTTATTGTTTCAAACTTTGCAATGTTTTATTCACATGCACAGGCAAGGTAAGTGTGGTAGATCAAAAAGTTCTCTATCAATTGGTGTAAATTTCACCTGCGCGCCTACAGCGCTCAAGCCGTGATCTTTAGAGGAGCTCTAGGTTCACAGCAGTATATCTCAGTTGTCTTGAGAGCTATTGAAAAGTTTTCAACTAATAAAATGTTTGAAATAAGTTGGTGAGCATTTCTTTAGTTGATCACTTTTTGATAGCTCTGAAGAAAACTGAGATATGCTGCTCTGAACATGTAGCACCTCTATTATAGGTTTTTTTGATTTCCAGGGTGTTACCCTATATAAAATTTATACCAATCGATTGAGAATTTTTTGATCTACCAATTCAAATGTCGAAGCTTTTTCTATAAGCTCTCCATGGCTGAAAGTCCCTCTAATTCCTTTCCTACCCCTCAAAAAAAGAACAAAAAATGATCACTTGTTATTTTTTGTTCCATGTTTTTGATTTGCTGACAAAATACATATACACGAGCACAAAAACTGATTACGTCCCCCCACTATAATTGTTCGCTCCCTATAGTCATAATATATTGAGTTATGTATTACTGAAAGCACCACAACAATTTTTTTACCTCATACAAAAAATTATGAAGAAAAAGTGTTCATTCAGATCGAAATTGCCAAAGAAACGACGACGAGTCTTGCAACCACATGAGATTAAGCCGCCGGTGGTTGGGAGGAGTACGACTGCTGTGATGATTAGTGCACTGACACAGAGAGGGCCAGTGGGACATGGTGGGGGATCGAATCCGGCGGATGGTAAGGAAGAGGGAGAGAGAGAGAGAGAGAAAAAAAAGATGGTGAGAGTGCGCAGAGAAGCTAGACTGTCTAGCTTCTCTGCGTCTTCCTCTTTTGGAGCAGGAGAGAAAGGGAGAGAAAGAAAGGGAGAGAGAGAGAGAGAGAGAGAGAGAGAGAGAGAAGAAGAAAAATCGGTTTTGAAGTAAGAAATTTTATTCTGAGCAATTCCAAAATTTGAGGTGTTTCCGGCTTTTATTGGTCTAAAAGCTCAAAATTGATCCCATTAGAAGCCATTTTTAGCCCTCTAAAGCCATTTTTAGACCAGTGCAGGTCCTAAAATATCGAAATACAATTCCGTAAAGTGTCATTGTATTCTGAGCAAATTGAGATGTTTTCGACCATTTTTCCGGCCTAAACTTCGGATTTTGCATCGTTTTAGACTATTCTTGAGCCAATTTCATGCTATTTCAGACTCTTCTCATAAAGAACTTGTAGATCAAAAAGTTTTCTATCGATTGATATAAATATCATATAGGTTTGTATCAAAAAGTGGTCCTGAAAAATCGAAAAATTCAAATTTTCCCAATTTTCACCCCCTTTTTCTGCTACAAACGTATTTGATATTTATACCAATCGATAAAGAATTTTTTGATCTACAATTTGTTACATCTCCACAATCCTAAATCTTTCTTACATTTTCAGGCGGCCCTCTCTCGGCCTTCTCCGCCACCCCACTCCTCGTCTGCCCTCCGGATGGCTCAGCGAAACCGCGTAAAATGAGCCAGAATAAGAATGGTGGAAGTGCTCCTTCAGTCCCACAGAACAATGTGTCATCCAAAGCTAATAAACTGATCTAATTGTCCTTATCCCGATTTTATACTGTAAATGAGGCCTAGCGTATGTTCAGAGCAGTATATCTCAGTTGCTTTCAGAGCTATCAAGAAGTGGTCAACTGACAAAATGCGTAGATTTGAATTTTGAACGTTTTGTTAGTTAAAAACTTTTTGGTAGCTCTCAAGACAACTGAGATATATCGCTTTGAACATAAACTAGGCCTCTATTACATGTTGCTTGAACTGCCAGAATCCGGTTCCCTATTGCCATCCCAAACAATTTTTTGTATATCGTTCTTCTGAAAAATTTTCATATCTACCGAAATATATGTATATGAATTTTAATTTATTCAAGGATTTTAAGAGATTTCGGAGCTCAAAAACACTTTTTCAATGGTAGGTACCTCTGCTGAAGTCGGACCAGGGGCCGGCTGGACAGATCATGAAACCCGTTACCGACTACGCTACCCGGACCAGGAAAACTTCAAAACCAGTGAATTTTTTTTATCAAAAAATCCCCCTAGAAGCCAATGCTCTCGCCGAATTTAAAGTTTTTTAAACCCCTGAAAAATTTTCCGGAGCACAATTTTTCTAAAGAGGAAAATAAATATTATTATTATTGAAAAACGGGTAAAAAAGGTAACTTTATTGGATTATTTTCCTAATTTTCAGGTCAGAACCAGGTTCC